GCCACGACTTTTCCATCTCCCTTACCTTTTCAGCATGTGCGGTGCTGGCTAGGTGTAGGACTAGATCATTAGATGGGTGTCTTTGGACTGTCTTGACTGTTATAGTTGACTCTGATGTCTCTGTAGCTTTCACGCTATTAGTACGGAACGCCGTGTTGAAGCCCTGAATGAGCTGGGTGATAGACAGCGAGCCTAAGGCCACTTGGGATTTGTCCGTTTGGACAAGTGTTACAGTGTTTGTAAGGCGCTTTCGTGCCTTGGGTTTGGGCATCTCTCTCTGGCTTGGACGTGATCCAGCTGTTTGAGTGCGAGTTTGGTCACCAGCGTGTTTGGACGCAGCTGCGGCATATGAGCCTGTAGCGGGTGTAGCGTTTGTTTTTTGAGTTGGTTTTGATGGGATGATGTGGGAGGTTAGGATTGAAACCTGCTCAGAGAGCGCTTCAAGCTTCTCGGTCCACAAGTCAGCTCGGAAATCGAAGGTTGGATTAGAACTCATCGATGGGGGGTTCATTATCGGCGCTGACGCTCTTTTGGAGCCTGCTAGGTCAGCAGCCGGTCGCTTAAAGAGGTTACACCTCGTTTGTTCAAACTGGTGCTGATCAAACGCTGTGTTGATCAGGACCAGGATGTCTGCGCAAGAGTTCACATCGATGTGAACTTGTTTGGCGAGCCGGCCCTTGGCCGGCAGCTGCATGACGTCGTTGGCGACCGCCACGAGCTTGGCCAACAGGATTGTGAGGGAACGATCTTCCTCACATCCTGGGACCAATCGCACCATCCTTTCAGAACGAGGCGTTCCGGTGACCGTTTGGATATGTTCTTGAGCCACTAATCCAGGTGTACTGGTACGGGCTCTCTTTTTGGCGAACTTGGTTAGCAATGGGATCTCTGATCGCTTCGGGGTAGCTCCTAGGGCGTCTGAGGTGATTTCGATCTGGGGTAGACCTGCGTTCCGAGCCTCTGAGGAAAGGCGGCCACCGCGTCATCGTTTGTGCTAGACGCGGTCGGATTCGACCATCGTGACGTCGAATTCGAGCTTGGACCATCCTCTACGAGTTGACCCGTGTCGGACGCGTCAGGGGCCATAGGGCGCGAGGTAAAGAGGGTTAGGAGGTTGTTGATGGTGGCGAAAAAAGTTAGGATAATGAAGTGGACGAGGCAAATTTCGGGTCACGTGACCTTCAAGGGCATACATGGCCATAGCAACATACAGCTGTTTCAACAAAGATCAATTTTTTTTGAAAATCTCGCCAATGTGCAAAACCCGGGTTGTGTCCTGTTTTGTCCCTCACCCGATTTTGTCCCTCCGCTAATTGGAAGAATATAGAAAAGAATAAACCTGTAAATCGAGGTTTGTCTCTGGTTTTACCCGCTGCGGAGACAACTTTCTCCAAAAAAAAGTTGTCAACCTTTCTTGAAATGGCTGCCTTCCTCACATATAACGTGATTACATATAAATAACTACATGTAATTAACCAATTACATGTAGTAATAGGGTAAAAGACTTGTAAACAATGTATTACATGTAATTATATACATGTAATCAACAAGTACACACAGTTACGGTACTCAAACCTGTGTATACTTTGCCGCACATAGTTTTTTTCCTTTTTTCACAACTATACACAACCAGGAAAAAGTATGTTTCTGGCTCAGAAGTACATATTTTTGAGCTTCAAACCAAAGACATACTTTTTCCGGGTTGTGTCTAGCTGCAATAAATCAAAAAAAAACTATACACAACAATGTATACACAGCTTTGAGTACCGTAAGTATACATATCAACCATATTTCTACTTCTTCTCATTTTCATTTACAATAGTTTCAATTTTATCTTTCTTGTTTCTCTCTCTACAGGTTATTCAAAGACTTACTCATTATTCAATAAAACAAAATACTCACAGATCAATTTGGTAGATGATCCTATGAAATTTGTTTCATGATGATCTGTCCAATACCCACAAGAACCTTAGTTCAAGTAACTAAGTTGGATTGGGAACCCAACTTAGAAGCTGCTCCTTTAAAACAGATCTTCTTGGCATATGGTGGCCGCCAAAAAGTGATGTCTAGGGTTCTTGTGCTAAAAGGATGGGTTGTATTAGAAGATCTTGCATGGGTGATTCAGGGATTAGGATAAATCACATCCACATGATGGATGGTCTAATGATCACATGTGATCCTCTAAGGATCAATGCTCAGTTGTTTCTCAAGGATGTTTATCTTATTTCTCTTCTATTATTGTCATCACTGTGCGCTGCTTGTTATTGATCTGATGGGTATATAAACCCTTGTGTTTGTCTTGTTTCTTTTATCTTCAACAATCATAAACCAAGTCAAAGCTTTATCAAACCAATTCTCCGTCCATACTAAGCTCCAAAAGCCCTGCCAGTCACCTTGAAGCCCTTTTCCTGTTAGTATCCACAGATCCCTTGATTTACACGTTATTTCACGGGTTATTACACCTCTTATCTACTTGCTACATATGATAATCATATGTAATTAAACTTGTAAAAATCAAAATATCAATTGTTACATGTTAATAGCTTGTTCAATAAGTCTCCTTATTGACACTTCTTGTATTTCTTGATAAAGCTACAAGTGAGATGTAGGAAATATGAATAGACAGAATTGAAGGCAATATTCACACGTAGTTCCAGTTGGAATGAGCACGGGGTTTTATTGAGATGAAGTGTGATTGTTTGTGATTTTGAAAAACCTCCCAGCCAAACTCAAATTTTGAACCCCCTGCCCACACACCAAGACTGGCCAATAATTCCTAACTCCCTTTCCAGACACATGAGCTTGTGAGGAAAAAGGGTCTGACTGTGGGGCTTATGGTTAGAGAAAGAAATCATGTTCTGACTCTTATCAAATCTGGAAAATGTGAATGAATTTTGAGAAATATATAAATCCTTTGAGGCATGCAAAGTGTTTTGGTACATACTGAGTTGGAATATCTAGGATTTGAATCTTGTATTAAAGGTTGTTCAATATACTCAGTACCTTTTCTCTCAAAATGGTATCAAGAGATTTTTGGTTGTGATCCATTCCAATCCAAGAATCAATCAAGTCAATCTCGAAGCCCTACTTACAAAGTGCAAAGCTCTAGGGCTGAGACCATTTTATCTTCATTGAATTTACCTCAACTACTCATTTCTGGGGATGAACTTCACGATCTCTTCTTTGTTAATTTTTCTACAACTTGTTTCATCAAACTCTTTTACATCTTGAACATAATTGAGGGAAACATTGAAGTGAAAGATATCAAGGGTTGTATATTGAGCTGTAGCTGCGCTCCTTCCCTTCACAGTGACATTTTACTACTCACTGGCAGGCCAGTGAGTACGACCAGCTCAATCCAATCTCAATTCCACCTCAAAACCATGTCAGTCCAATCTCAATTCAATCTCAATTCAATCTCAATTCAATCTCAAGGTTTGGCCTAGAGGAGCAGACAAACAGTCTTCCAAAATGAACTGAAATAAAGTTTAATTGCATGTCCACACATGAAGGTTTCAGAATTTTTGGAAGGTATGAGTGATTTTCAGATAAGTCACAACCAAATATACTTCTGAGTCCCTTCCAAAGACTTCTACAGTGAAACACAAGTTGACAGATATTGAGAATATGACTCATGGACCAATTTGAGAGCTCCTTGAGCAACACCTCACCAAAGATCAGACAAAACAATTTGTTGAGAGTTAGAGAACACCTCTATGCTTGAGAGTCCTCAACTCATTCACACACGCAATATGTTGAATCTCAGACAGTTTGAAGCAGGATTTCCAACTGCTGATGGAGTTGAAAACTCACAAGTCATGCTAACTGGTGAGACTGACCCCCATTTGGTATGGCTTACAGCTATTGTAAATAGTTTCAAAGTTGTTATATTTGACATTGCATAATCAGTGATTTCATGGAAGAACTCTTCTGATTTGAAACTGAACTTTTGCACCAATAATGAATCAATGGTGTTTGGTATAGACTATCAACCGTGCTTCACTATGCATCATATATCATCATCATGATTCTTATTGGCCGATTTTATTCAGACATTGAGAATCCAACTAACCTCAGAGATTGTTTCACTAATGACTAGATAGCATCATTGCACCGGTGGGTCTATGGATAATTTGCTTCATTTAATCAAAAGCTAGTGGCAGGATTTCCAACTGCTGATGGAGTTGAAAACTCACAAGTCATGCTAACTGGTGACACTGACCCCCATTTGGTATGGCTTACAGCTATTGTAAATAGTTTCAAAGTTGTTATATTTGACATTGCATAATCAGTGATTTCATGGAAGAACTCTTCTGATTTGAAACTGAACTTTTGCACCAATAATGAATCAATGGTGTTTGGTATATACTATCAACCGTGCTTCACTATGCATCATATATCATCATCATGATATATGATGGCCGATTTTATTCAGACATTGAGAATCCAACTAACCTCAGAGATTGTTTCACTAATGACTAGATAGCATCATTGCACCGGTGGGTCTATGGATAATTTGCTTCATTTAATCAAAAGCTAGTGGAATCACTCCAGTCTACCACTCAGTCCATAAATTGTTCAAGAAACAAGTGATGCTGTTTCTATGGATCACGGGTAATTGAATGAAACACAAGAGTCAAATTGAGGACTATGTATTGGTCTTGACAGAGCCTCCAGTCATAAGGCGTCCTCCAGGTCAATGATAGAGCATTGAAACTTCAAATTCAGTCCGGACCAGCTTTCAAAATGAAAAGATTACCAACTGTAACATTGCTTTTGAAAGGAGGGGCAAAAGAAGGAACAAGTAATAACACAAGACTCTTTCGTAAAATCTGTGAAATTGATTGGTTATACATTTCTCCCAGTTGAGGTGAGCTACACCAGACAGGACTTTAGAGATGCAGTTGTACATAATCATATTTCATCCTGGATACTATGTGAATAATGTTGACTTGAGGCAACCTCTTGTAAATTATATTTCTATGTGAGATATCGATTCATCACAATCTAGCAATAGCCTGCAGTGCATTGTCAAGGCGTGAAGTGTTGTTTGTAACTCCCAATCTCAATTTCTCAAGGTCACCACATTGCTCTAAGAACCCACGATCATAGCAGTTTTCTGGAAGGTTACCACATACTTTTGCCATAGGATTGATCTTGTTGCCCGCTTCACGTCGAGTATCAAATCTCCTAGCTGCATGAGTCCTCAACTTCACGGTGGCTTGATGATTGTAGGAAAGACCATCAATCTTATGAAGCCACTCTCCATACTGTGCACTGCGCCATTCAGGCTGAATTGAGCGCTCTTGACCAAGAGAATCAATCTCAGTATCCGAGCAACATGCCGCTTCCGGGAGGAGATCTATAAAGTCTTTGAGGTATCGTTTGACTGTGGATTTACGGTATATATAGAGCTGTAGAATGTTTCAGTATGTTTATCACAACTTGACATGTTGCCAGAGGGACTTAAATCTTACATCTCGTCGCTTCCTACTGCGCTCCCGCTGTGCAATCTTCTCTGGCGAGTCAAACTTATTCTTCCAGTGTTCAATTTGCCCAATGAGCCATCGAGTAACAATACCAATATAAATAACTTCTGTCTTCCATTCAGTATCCAGTCCAAACTTTTGGAATGCAGATGCTCTCCTGGCAAACATCCAATGCTTTACAGTAAAAAAAATCATAGCTTGATTCCATGCAGCGTTTTCACCTCCCACATCTTCCCAATCAAAAGTGAATGGTCCTTCGATTTGTTTGTTGGCCATGTCGTTGTCCAGAAGGGCCTTGAATACACTCCAGTCCAATGGATTTGGGTGGTTGTTGGAGCTGTAGTTATTGAAGACTGAGTTGTCATTGATGATGTCTTCTTTTGTTAGAGGTGGGAGTGACATCAGTTGATCATCGGTTGGGGGTTCGGGAAAATGTGGGTGATTCCTGGTGTGGCCAAGCAGGTATCGGGTGAACTCCGCAAAAGATTTACAGCTGGGGGAATTTGATGGTGGTAGTATCTTGGCAAATGCACTGTTTTTGGCCTTTCGACTTTTTGGTGCAGTACCATTGGGCCAAGCTGGGGCAGAGTGTTGTGACCCGGATGCTGGGTAGTATGGAACCTTGTCAATTTATGTGTATGGGGAAATGAAAGGTTGGAAAACTCATACCCATGGTTTTATCTTGACAATCACGAATGTGACCTTATTGCAGTCAAAACTCTAATGGACTGATTGAGAGCAGCAACCTTGAAAATCCCAAAGTATGATGACTGTTAGTTGAGTGGAATGTGGTCAACTTTGGGGGAGTTATGTGAACAGGGGCAGATTTGATTCTCTGTGAATAGAAACTTAAAAAGTCATGTTACATGTATGTCTGTCACAGATTGTGAAATCTGCCTTCAACATGTAGCAAAGGATTGGGCACAGGTGATTGCTACTTTAGCATGTGGTATAGTAGTACATGTGTTGTACATAACACATGTATTACTACGTGGACAGTGGCACCATGAACTGAAACTGATATCATTGTAGAGAAAACTATCCTAATTTGAATGGTAACAAAACAACAAATTTTATAAGATAAGAAATTTTATAAGATAACATATTTGGACAACATATTTTATAAGATAACAAAAGCTAGGTAGAAACCGCCATGGAGTTGCTTTTTGCAAGCTTCTTCTTCAAAAGCTCAATAGCCGATTTGAGATCAACTGCTTTGTCAGACAACTCCAAACTATCAATTGTAATCTCATCAATCCCTTCAGTCAGTATTTCCGGCTTGATGAGGCATTTTGGAAGAGCCTTAGGAGGAAGTTGATCTTCAGCGTCAGGAACATTTGGCGAATACGCTCCTCTGGATTGGAAAAACTCTTTCAATCTATCTTTTTTGTTTTGGGTACTCTCCCTTTTGGGAGCTGCGTCATCAGCCAGTTTAATCAACTCATCAAGCTGGGGGGTCCTCCAGTTGAGCTTGATCTTCCTGAACTTCCCTGGCCTCTCTGGGTCCATTTCAGTCTCAGAATGCACCTCTTCACAGTTGAGCAGGACCCTGAGTGGACCTGTGAATTGACGAAAGTAGGGCTCTACTGCTGCAGCCCGTTTGTCACAAAGCTGCAAATGACCAAGTCAATATGGGTGTTATGGCAAGTTTCAACAGTGAAAGAAGCGAGAACATTTACCTTTTTTCTAATAGCTTTCAAAGCTGCTTTCTCCCTCTCTGAAAGTTTCTTGCGGACAAGCTTCTCACTGCCTCCTTCGGTAGACACCAACTTCTTGTCCTTTACCTCCTCTCGATAGACTCTGCGCTTATTTGATACCCAGCGGGAAAGTATCTCTCTAGTTTCAAGTGGAATATTGAGGCTTGTGTCGATCGGGAATCCAGAAGGTACACCTCGAGCATTATAACAATCTAACCAGCTAGTAACTAAGTTGTCTAACATGGCCATGTTCCAAGGAGTTTTAGGAGGACCGGTCCATTGGAAAGAAATTCGAGAGAAACCACAGCCAGCAAATTTAGCTTCAGCACATCCTAAACGAGTAGCATCATAGGTGGTAATTGAGGCAGTATTATGGGCAACACGTGAGATAAATTTAGGAGGGGGAAAAGCTTGACGAAACATAATAGCAGCTTCTTTTGACACTACAATAGTCATTTGATGCTTGACAGAATCATTTGCTGAGGGGTTATTTTTGAGGCGCTCGTCCATCTTTTTTTGAATGTTGACTTCTAAATATTTTGTCCTTTCGTCAGCATAGTTGGCCCACTTCTCAACCTCTTCAGTAGTTGGCTCGTCAGGAAGGTGGCGTGCAAGTAGGACAGCGGCAGAGATATTGGTTGACGATCGAGTGGCGGATTGACGAGGAAGACCAAGCAAGGCCCTAGCCCACTCTTGAACAGCAGAGGTCAGGCCAACCAGCTTGAGACTATCTGAGGGCTCTTTCCGGGCACGCAGTTCTTCAGCATCGTTTTTGCGCTGTTGCTGTCTACGCTTGGCTTCCCTCTCCTTGGCAATCTGCACAGCAACAGCTTGCTCAAAATTCAGGCCAGGCTCTTCCCCTGGTTGGTCTATGAGGGGTGGATGTGATTGAAAGGGAACTGTCAGTCATTCTACAAACTGACTTGAAATGAAGATGGAGACTTGTCTGGACTTACTATCAAGCTGATCCATAATAGCATCTCTTTCAGGCTCTGCAGCTTCGTTGCCTCCACTGTTGTTACCTGTCCCACTGTTGGAACCTAGATCATGTGGATGGAATAAAAATGAATGAAGTTAGTTGATCCACAAGGTTGATGTGCAGGGTTAAGATGCTTGAAAATACCTGAAGTTCCTTCCATTGCCTTGCGTTTCGGAATTTTGGTGAGGTTGTATTGAAAAGATGGATATTTAAGGTGGAGAATCAGACTAATAAGCTCAAATTGTGATTATGAAAAAGTTATTGATCCAATTTGAGTATTGAAAATGAATATCAGGAATGGGAAATCAGATTGAGAAGTTGAAAGTTGTGGATTGGGAGGAGGAATGAATTGGAGCAGAGAAATGGGTTTTGTTGAGGGTTAAAATTGACCCCTTTGTCTAGTAAATTGTTTGTTTGGGAAAATCCAAGTGGGTCTCACCTGATATTGACCAAATATTGAAGGATGGCAAAAATTGGAGGAGGCCAGTGTGTTGCTCATGGTATAGGCACTCACTGGCTGCATGTAGGGGCTGGTAGGCAACAGTTTGAAAGACTGGCTTGTATGTTTCATTCAGCAGACACTACCCAAAGGTATGCGTATTTTAAGACCTTTGATCCCAAACTTTTCTTCTTGGAAACTAAACCACTATCTTCTCTGTAACAAATCAAAACAGGAAAGGTGTAAAGATGACAGAAGTAAAGGATATTTAATTGGGAATATATATTCATATATATGAATCTAATGACTGATTCAATTGTAATCTGATTTCACTTCAATTTCCCACCCCAGCTGAATTGATATTGCCATAATTCCCAAGCAGCACACAAACACATAATTCCCAATACTCTACGTCTTGTAAATAAATTGGTTTCTGTTTTTTCCCTCCAGTCCTGATTTTTGTGTCGTCATGACTGCAAAGAAGCAAACAAACATTTGTTGTATTTAGTACAGATGCTTCCCAAAAATTATCAAACAAATATGAACTTACTTTGAAATTCATTTGATGGATTATAACCAATGTGACAGATAAGCATCAAAAATTGAAGAGGAATTCTCTGGCTTCCTGTACAAGTTCCTTGAAATCGTGTGTCAGGGCAATGAGTATGATAACACTCATGGGATCAGGTTGACCATTGACTTCGTCTTCAATCTGGATAAGCAGAACCCTATAACTCCACATATCATTCATCAATCGAATCCTTCTTGCATACTCCCGACAGGTGTTGTATCTTTCAATCATTCTTTCTGTTTGATCCATTGTGACGAGATGATGTGCAATATATATTTGTTTGTGGAAACTTTTTCTGATGAGGAGTGTTGAGTTGAAGATGAGAGATGGAAGAAGTTTTTGAAAATGACAGGAAGCAACACTTGAATTTAAGTGGGGAGGAGTTTAAATGGGGAAAGGTATCATCAAGTCATGATGATACCACCTTTTGGCAAGTCATGGTGATAGCATTCGACAAGTCACCCCTTGTTAAATTGGATACAGTTCTTGTTGGATTGTGATAATGCCAGAGTTACTAGGCAGCAACACTTGGATTTAAATGAAGACAAATTTCTGGCAAGTCACTGGATGCCATTTGAATTTGTTTTGTTTGCGGTTTAGATTCAATTTTTTTGAAATGTTTATTGAGATTTCTTTTTCATGTAAGGAAACGTATACCCTTCTCAGCCATCGTAGAGTCAGCAAGTCACGACGTGCGGGCCGTGTTGGGTTCAAGTCCCGAGTGATATCGGGTAAATGAACATACAGGGCCAGCAAGTCGTGACTTGCTGACTCTTGTATGGCTTGAGAGGGGTCAGCAAGTCGCGGCTTGCTGGCCCTGTTGGGTTCAAGTCCCGAGTGATCTCGGGTAAATGAACAGACAGGGCCAGCAAGTCGTGACTTGCTGACTCTTGTATGGCTTGAGAGGGGTCAGCAAGTCGCGGCTTGCTGGCCCTGTTGGGTTCAAGTCCCGAGTGATTTCGGGTAAATGAACAGACAGGGCCAGCAAGTCGTGACTTGCTGACTCCTGTATGGCTTGAGAGGGGTCAGCAAGTCGCGGCTTGCTGGCCCTGTTGGGTTCAAGTCCCGAGTGATTTCGGGTAAATGAACAGACAGGGCCAGCAAGTCGTGACTTGCTGACTCTTGTATGGCTTGAGAGGGGTCAGCAAGTCGCGGCTTGCTGGCACTGTTGGGTTCAAGTCCCGAGTGATTTCGGGTAAATGAACAGACAGGGCCAGCAAGTCGTGACTTGCTGACTCCTGTATGGCTTGAGAGGGGTCAGCAAGTCGCGGCTTGCTGGCCCTGTTGGGTTCAAGTCCCGAGTGATTTCGGGTAAATGAACAGACAGGGCCAGCAAGTCGTGACTTGCTGACTCCTGTATGGCTTGAGAGGGGTCAGCAAGTCGTGACTTGCTGACTCTTGTATGGCTTGGGAGGGGTCAGCAAGTCGCGGCTTGCTGGCCCTGTTGGGTTCACGTCCCGAGTGATATCGGGTAAATGAACAGACAGGGCCAGCAAGTCGTGACTTGCTGACTCTTGTATGGCTTGAGAGGGGTCAGCAAGTCGCGGCTTGCTGGCCCTGTTGGGTTCAAGTCCCGAGTGATTTCGGGTAAATGAACAGACAGGGCCAGCAAGTCGTGACTTGCTGACTCCTGTATGGCTTGAGAGGGGTCAGCAAGTCGTGACTTGCTGACTCTTGTATGGCTTGGGAGGGGTCAGCAAGTCGCGGCTTGCTGGCCCTGTTGGGTTCACGTCCCGAGTGATATCGGGTAAATGAACAGACAGGGCCAGCAAGTCGTGACTTGCTGACTCTTGTATGGCTTGAGAGGGGTCAGCAAGTCGCGGCTTGCTGGCCCTGTTGGGTTAAAGTCCCGAGTGATTTCGGGTAAATGAACAGACAGGGCCAGCAAGTCGTGACTTGCTGACTCCTGTATGGCTTGAGAGGGGTCAGCAAGTCGCGGCTTGCTGGCCCTGTTGGGTTCAAGTCCCGAGTGATTTCGGGTAAATGAACAGACAGGGCCAGCAAGTCGTGACTTGCTGACTCTTGTATGGCTTGAGAGGGGTCAGCAAGTCGCGGCTTGCTGGCCCTGTTGGGTTCAAGTCCCGAGTGATTTCGGGTAAATGAACAGACAGGGCCAGCAAGAGCAAGTCGCGACTTGCTGACTCTTGTATGGCTTGAGAGGGGTCAGCAAGTCGTGACTTGCTGACCCTTGTATGGCTTGAGAGGGGTCAGCAAGTCGCGACTTGCTGGCCCCCCTTGTAACGATAAATTCGGCGGTACTCCAATACAGCACCGGGCACAGAGGTTCGGGCCGGGGTTTTGTGTAACAGCCCCTCCTTCGATGAAACATCCTTCGATTCATCTATCCCAACGCCACACTCCTAATACCAAAGCTCCATACACCCCTTTTCCCACGATACCTCCGCTTTCTCTCACGAATTCTCTTCCCGGCGATATTGATACAATACTCCGACCTTCAATTTCGAGTTTCAAGGTATGTAAGCGAGTGTTTCATCGAATGAAACAAGGCTTGATCGATAATGAACTGATCACGATCAAACATGTTTTTGCAGATATCTTTGGAATGTACGCGAATCAAGGCACGCGCCCAACCCATGGTGGGAAACGAATCACTCCGAACCAGCAACCAGTCACCCCTCAAGTACCATCTTGCGATGACGACGATGCGGATTCATCCAGCAAGTCGAGTTCAGAACTGGAGGATGAGGATGAGGATGAGGATGAGGATGAGGATGAGGATGATGAGGATGAGGAGGATGAGGAGGAGGGTGAAAGCGCACCTGGACCAACTGGTGAAGCGCAGCCACCTCCAGAGGAGGACAAGAAACGTGGGTCAAGTTTCTTTTCCCTCATGAACATTCAGAGGCTGATAGAATGTTTTTTTAGCCATCCTCACGAAGACCCAAGCCGTTCTCTTGAAAGGCACAACGTTTCATCTGGACCTTGCCTCATTCAAAGAGACGCTCATTATACAACGAGACTGGATTGCAGCGTCCCTGGAATCCCGAGCAGTCTCGGCAGACATATTCGAGTCAATGAGAGCCACGGGAAATCGCATAGAAGCGACATTGGAAAGTGAGTCAGCCCCACAATTTACTTGCGTTTCAGTTGATCACATAAACTGACCAAGTCAATGTTTGCAGAAATTCGAAATGGCACCTTTCGGAACCAGAGGACCTCTCTGGTACAGGTTCTCGGGGTACCAATGGAGGATGATGAAATTGAGGATCAACCCATGGAGGTTGATGCCATCAAGGATCAACTCAAGGAGGATGATTCCATCAAAGATCAACCAACCCCAGACAAATCACAACCGCTCTTCCGTCCTGATGATGAAGATGCTGACGGCGAGGAAGAAGAGGCCGAGGTGGACGATGAATATGCGGAGAAATCGGACACGGACTACGAGCCAGCACCGAAACGAAGGGCCTCTCAACGTATCAGCACAGCCAATGCCAAAGCTGCATCGATTTCGAAACGCATTCCTGTTACGCCCACTCCGTCTACCTCACAATGTCGAAGCCCTCAGAAAAAAACCAATGCACCGACCGAAAAGGGAAGGTCAAGTGAGGCAGGCAAGTGTCCCAAGTCGAGTCTCAGCAACCGCGTTCCCACTCATCCACGAGTCAATCCGTCACGGCTGGCGAAAGCCACGCCAAGCAACAAGGCAGCTGCAACCTCCCCCATAGTTGGGCCAAAAGATCGCCCAAAAAAAAGGAAGCAACCCCCCACATCCAAGCCTAGTCCTCCTCCACCTCGCGCTCCATCACCTCCGCCCACCCCTACGAATCCCGATGTGCAACGAGCCGACGGCGCATTCAGGCGGATCAGCGCCGTAATCATGGAATATGCGTCGCGACCGTCATGGTATCCTCCCATGCGCGCTAACTCTTCGGATCCATTTTATGTATTCTTTACCACACCGTTCAAAGTTCCTTCGGATCGCAATCAGCACTTGACCCTGTGTCATTACCTCAAACGCCATTGGGACACGGTCTTACATGTAAACCAGCACCCCCAGAGACTGCGATCTGGTTTTGACGCATATCAACTGATGTTCTCATGGCTACGTGCCGTGAGAAGCCTGCCGGGCTGGTCTCTCGGTGATACCCGCGAGTTGTACGATCGATTGGATCCTCTGGTGGCCTCC